AGTAACATGGAAAAACCATGACGATCCTTTCCCATAAACGAGACAGTTGCTTTTTAACTTCCTTGCAGGTGGGCAGCCTGTGTGTGCCTACCTAGGTGGATAGTGGAAATCAACCTAGAGCTGGTAGCTCTGTCTCTGGATGGTTTAGGTCCCTCCATCCTCCACCCCTTGCCCAAGGCAATTTCACGTTGCCTCTGTAATTACAGTGGAGTCCTGCCAGTGAGTTCCTAGAAAGTAAAAGAGAATTTTGTTTTACAAGTATAGTCCTCTTTTAAAACTAGAATACTGAGGCTGGAGAAGAGTCTTGCCAACAGCAGATGCACAAGAGTTAAAATCCAAGATTCCCTAGTGGCAAAAACTGAAATGAAAAGCCAGTGAGGAAGAGTCAAGAGCTATTAGCTGGGGGGACTGTAGGGTGTTAACAAAACCAGGCTCTGCCCTAATTGGATTAACCAAACAGCTGCCACTGCATGGAAAGGGACAGGGGTGTAATTGTCAGCCATGTGATCAGCATGGGAGTAACAGTACTTCAATAAGGTTGACTTGGCCTCCATTCTTCCATCTCTTGCATTTACATTTAAAATTTTGATTGATGTTTTTGTCATGCTTGTCCCCAAGGAGCTTGTGTGCAGGTTCCTTTTGTTTTGGTGAGTCTAGTTTATCATGAGATCCATCTTTATGTGTTCAGAAATGAGGTCTTATGGCACACTAAAGTTCGTCTGAAAGGCGCCACCCATTAGCACCATGAAAAGAAGTTTTATCAGTCACTTTTCTCATTGCTATAACCAAATGCCTGACCAAAGCAACCTGGGAAGGAGGAATTAATTTTGGCTCACAGTTGAGGGACAGTCTAGCCACCAAGGCTGGGAAGCCATGATGGCAAGAGCCTGAGTCACATGATAGTCACAGTCAGGAAGCAGAGAGCCATGATGTGAGGGCTCAGCTCCATTCCCATTTTTATTTGGTGTGAGACTTTAGTCCATGGAATGGCGCCTCCCTTCTCAACTAACCTAATGCAGAAGCCCTCTCCCTGACATGCTCTGATGTTTGGGAAAAGTCAACACTAGGATGGGGTTCTTAGATACAAGCACTGTCTTGACTGAGGGGATGCTGAGAGCACCGAGGCCTGTAGGAAACAGCAGTATGTCATCAGCTTGGGGTCAGAAAGGACGTCGAAAGGAGACACTGCCTGAAGGCTGATCTGAGAGGACAAAAGTTGGCTGGTTAATCTTGATCGAGTGAACTCAACACGAGAAAGCTTCTGGCAAGGAGATGAAGCAGAAAAAAGAAGTAAAGACCAAACATTTTAAAGTTATCATCTGATTTTTAAAATACACAATCACCCTAGTATTTATTCAATAGAGAAAATTGAATGTCCTCCCCCAAGCCCCATGGCACCTCCAGAGTCTGAGGTGACTGGCTGTCCTGTGGTTGTAGTCTTTGGGGGCCTCCGTGACTATGAGCAGGCTAAAACTGCAATACTATAAGACAGATCCCACACTGCAGAGTAAGACCGGAACCAAAACAAACAAAAACCAAGACGTCTGTGGGCTCCACTAGTTACTGCATTGGCTGAAGATTGCTTCCTGAGAGTCAGGCAGAAAAGGTATCCACGGTCAGTCCATAGGCAGGGCCAGGTAACAGCTGCTTTTCTGCAAGGAGGAAGCAAGCGGGAATGCAAGCGCAAACCATCATCATTTTTTTTCCCAGTTGCCAACTCTTGCAATCTAGTAAGAACGTTCTATGGTCACTATTCACAACCCCAGCGATTCTAAAGTGCAATTATCGTACTAGTACCTAAATTAATAGTTCACATGTAATTCCGATGGACGTTGGCATTATAGAAAGAATAAGGGGGCAGGAATAACCAGGAGGGACGAATAGGGCCAGCAGCGCTTTCCTTATATTTGAACAGACACGCTGAGAGAAGAAGCCACCCAATGACAACTTCATTGATGAGGAGCGACAGCCCGCCCCACCCACTGTGTTTACGTTTGCCATTGTTCCAGCCTGTGATGTTTTGTTTACTTCAGAAGGAAATATTTTCCCCCCTCTGAGATAATTAATTTTTGTCAGCTTCGCGGTTTTTAAGGGAAACTGAGAAACTGTTAATTGAAATACAGAATGAGTCACTGTTTTCGGTAATTTTTGGCAGCGTTCTAATTTGTGTCAATCCCAGCCTAATTATTAGATTTTGTTGGAAGCAGAAAGCATATTTGATTTTTTCTCTTATTGAACTCTTTTTTTCCCCATTTTTTTTTCTTTGAAATATATGCTCTCTGGCAAAGGTTATGTAATTTATGTCAATGTGCGGTGAAATGCAGATACATCTGAAACGCTGAGAGGTTCATTGCGTCATGCTTGGCTCTGCTCAGTGCCTCAATATTTACAAAGCCTGTAGACTGCAGTCTTCCAGCCTCGCTCCTGCCTGCCGCAAGCCCCTGTGAGAAAATGTGATACTTTAAAAGACCTTCTCACTGGTGAGAAGCTGCCGTCTATGGACCATCACTAATGGTATCACGGAAGTGAATTTCCCAGAAGCCATCAGGGAGGGTTCATTTGGAAATCCAATTGAATGTCACTGGCAAAGGGCAGGCACCTAGTAGAGGTGGCCAGTCATGCATCCCGAGCTGTTGGTTGTAAAAGCATTAATCACCATGAACTCATTTACTTCTAATGCAAACATACTGAATTATTCCACAGGCATTCTGCTCCCAATGATCATTAGTGCAGACAACAGGGAGCTTCTAGTTGTGGGTGAGGTTAATAAAATCTGTCAGCTCAATGGCCAGCATAATGGACCTGTTAATGACTCTTAATAGAAGCAGGGTCCTTCCTTCCTACTGCAGCAGAGCAACGGAAGGAAGGAAGAGAGGCAGGTGTCTACGCAGGGCAGACAGCTCCTCTGTCCCTCAGCTCCCATGGTGGCTTCCAGATAGAGACAGCACTGAGATCAGTCACTGAGTATAATCAGGAATCAGAATCTGTTGTGTCTGGGAGTTTTGGTACCTGTGGTGGGAAAGGAAGGGAGTCCCCAGGATGACCCAAGATGGTTCTGCTCTCATCCTCTTGAATGCCTGCTGTAGCTGCTTGGAAAGCACAGGCCAGAAGCTTCCAAGTCATGAATGCCCCAGAACCTTCTCCACCCCGAATCCACCCATAATTCACAATAATGTTAGCAACAACCATGGCAGGTAGTTGGTCACCAGATGCTACCAAGGACCTAGGACTAAGTGATGTGAGTCTACCAAAAGTGCTCAATTATTGTCCCCAATTGACAACAGGGTAGCCCCAGACCAGAGGTCTTCAACTACTGCCCCAAGGTGACATTCAGAAGGTTATGCCCATAAGCACCATGCTTCTTCATTGGAGGAACACACAAAAGCAGCAAACTGTACTCAGACTCATAGAAAGGTACAGGATACAAGAGAGAATATAGAATTTTCTTCATTGTGTGTCCATCTAGTCAGCACATGCAGGACCAGTTTCAAGCAAAGTGCATAAAAACTATGCTGCTACCTTCCATGCCTTGTTACTACAACACAGGATCGCAAGCCCTTAGGATGCTCGGCTGTTCAGTGTCACCCACTTGTGACCCTGGCTGGACCACTCCAGCCCATGATGCTCTCACCCCTCTCCTTAACATGTGCTCTTTACTACCCCAGTCCCACATGTTACAAAACTGGTCACCTGAAGCTCATCGTGATCTCCTTATTGGGTCCTAGCTGTAAGGGACAAAAGAAGCTACCAACTCTTGTGGGGGTCTCCTGAGCACAAGTCTTGTGAGATTGACAATGAGGAGTGCCCTGAGCCCAAGACCTGAGCTCCAGTCCCATAGGCTAGGTACAAGCACACAGACCCTCCCAAACCCTGAGGACTCTGTGACTTGGGTGCTGATAACCACCAGGACTTAGCATCAGGAGGCTTTGGATGCAAGGGCCTGCAAAGAACGATGTAAACCAGGCTGCAGAGTCACAGAAGGGCTCTGTAATCTCTTCAGTCATGAAGGGAGCATTGTGTATAGACCGCCAGGGACTGAACCTAGAGCAGCTTCTTCCAAAACCCAGAAGGGAACAACCCCAGCAGTTTTTAACCAGCAACCCCACCCCGAAAGGGGCACTTCCTGTGTTTTTGGAAATGGGGTTTGAAGTATTTGAAAGATATGACAAAGCAGATGGTTATAAAGAAGGAAGGTATGGGGAGGAAGATGGGCTTAGGGAGTTTCAGAAGCAGCCTTATGACTACTCCATAGCACCTGCCATCCCCAGCAGGCCTGAGCTCAGCGATGACTGCAGTGGGGGAACACAGAGAGCGTGGGATGTGTTTTCTGCCCCCCACCCGTGGTAATGGCTTCAGTACGAGACTACGTGGCACCAGATATAACAGCCGCGAATCAAGAGAAATTAGCAAGGGGGAAAATTCACAGAGAACACCACAGAAGATTGCATTAGTTGTCAGGTGCACAGATCCATGCGTGCACAGAGAGGGAACAGCCCACTTATGGAGAGGAAGCACGTTGAGGCTTCTGGATTGAGAACAGCATGCAGAGTACAGAGGATTCTGAGGGACACCGCCCTGTCCAAGTGGAAAAAGAAAGTATCTGTGGGTGTATACATAAGGGAAAGTATGTGCCTGTGTATGTGTAAGAGAGTGTATTTGAGAAAGTGTGTGAATATACAAGCTTGGTGTGTGTGTGTGTGTGTGTGTGTGTGTGTGTGTGTGTGTGTGTGTGTGTAGAAGAGCACAGCAGGCGAGGCCAGAGAGGATGGTAGTACATTTCAAAGAGCCTTATAACCCACAGAGGAGTTTAGACTAATATAGCAGGTGACTGGGAGCCACAGGAGGGCCGTGGGCACCCAAGGAGAACGACCTAACTCAAGGGTTGCAAAGGTCAACCTGGTAGTGTACAATTGGATAGACTGGAAAGGGACAAGGGGATTGTGTGCACTTTGAGAAGTAAGGGAGCCCTACCTTACAGTTTGTCATATTTTCTTCTATAGCATACCTCCATATTGCCCTTCTCGCTGGTTGAAGCCATTCTCAGACCACACCACTATCCATCGAAGAAGCTAGGACTCGCCTTGTTGGGTACTTGTAACATTGCCTACATTATCAGGTAAGAATTGCACAGAAAGGGTCAACTGAAGCTCGCCATTGGTGCCGCACATAAACATTCATAAAAGTATAGCATTATTGTACTTAAGTACTTCTGTTGGTGTAGTTGGTGATCTAACCCATCTTTAAATTTCCAGAGGGAAAGGGTTCTTATTGTTTGATTTTAATACTCATGAAAAGCTCATATTCATAGGACACACACACACACACACACACACACACACACACACAGTAAGCCACAACTTCCTTATTCTCCCTTCATGAAAAGTAATTGTCAAGAAGCACACAGCATGTGTTTCCAAGAATATATTGACTTCAGTTTCATTTTCAATTAGAATATTTGAATGAATGAATGATCCAAAGCATCCATATGTACTCCATCTGAAAAGGCATTTGGCAGGTAGAACCAGATTCCCTGCATCATCTTAGGCCTCAGATACGATCACCTAGAGGGCAGTTGCCAGAGATGTGAAGAATATGGGAAATGAATCAAGTAACTGACCTTGATTTCATCATTCAGTCACTCTTTGTAATGCTGCCCAATGGTCTGCAATCAAGGGCATGCATATGACCCTCTGTCTGGTACTTGAGGAAGCCCAGTTCCCTTCCACAGCTTCTTTCTTTTCTTTGCTTGTTTGTTTATTCTGAGACAAGGTTTTATGTAGCTCATGGTGGCCTCAAACTCCCTATATGGCTGAGAATAACCCAATGATCTTCATTTTGGGTCTTCCTATCTCTGCTTCCCAAGTGATGGAATTACAGAAGTGTATAACTGTCTTCGTTAGGGGTTCTATTGCTGCAAAGGGACACCATGACCATGGCAATCCCTATGAAGAAAACATTTAATTGGGGCTGGCTTACAGGTTCAGAGGTTTAGTCCAGGATCATTATGGAAGGAAACATGGCAGCATGCAGGCACACATGGTTCTGGAGAAGGAGCTGAGAGTCCTATATTTGGATTGTCATGCAGGAGGAAGAGAGTGAAACTGGGCCTGGATTGAGCATCTGAAGCCTCAAAGCCCACCCCAAGTGACACACAAGGCCACATCTCCTAGCAGTGCCATTTCCCAGGAGCCTATACCAGTCATTTTCATTCATATCACCACAATTACCTTGCCCAGTTTTATGATACTGGGATTGAACTGAAGGCCTCATGCATAGTAGGCAAGCATTCTCCCAATGAGTATATCCCCAGCCCTGCCTTCCACAGCCTTCTCATATGACACCATTTCATGTCTGAAAGGGCCATACCATCCATGCATAAAACCTGAATACAGAACACATGGCATTCTGGATCATCCCCCCACCCCACCCCAGTCTTTATATGGAAAGCCATTTAGTACAGTGCTCTATTAACAATGAGAGCAAAGCACAATATAACATTTCAAAGAACATGGCAGGTGTGGTAGTTTGAATGCAATTGACCCCCATAAGTTCATAGAGGATGGCACTACTGGAGGTGTGGTTTTTTTGGAGTAGGTTTGGCCTTGTTGGAGTAAGTGTGTCATTGTGGAGGTAAGCTTTGAAGTCTTATATATGCTCAAGCCATGCCCAGTATCTTAGTTCACTTCCTGTTGCCTGCAAGATGTAGAACTCTCAGCTCCTTCTCCAGCACCACGTCTGCCTGCATGCCACTACATCTGCCATGATGATAATGGACTAAACCTCTGAAACTGTAAGTCACCCAATTAAATGTTTTCCTTTATAAGAGTTGTTGTGGTCATAGTATCTCTTCATAGCATTAGAAACACTAAGACAGGACAGGACATCTCAGGGCCTTCAGCAGCACATTTTTCATATAAGTTAACAGTTTGGTACCCAGAATTCCATGACCCTTCTTTCTTTCCTGTAATCTTCCCATTTTCCCCCTACCCTTCCTCATTGCCTCCTCCCCCGGCCCACCCCAAGTGCTAAGGTCTTCCTTGCTTTCTCTTAAAGAAAGTTCTTGTATAATTTAATTTCTCTGAGAATTAAGTGTTCTGTACTGTTCTCCACATTTTGGGGTCTTTGAAGTTTAACAAAGGGATACTTTAAGAACACAAAGCTCTAGTTGGGAACCCCTTTTAGTCAACACCAGGGCCATTGTACTAAGGAAGATCCTGAAGCCATATTGTATGATGCAGATACTGAGGACACAGGGAGGTACAAGAAGCCCATGGCTCTTAGAGACTATCTGGGAATGAGAAGGGACACAGGACAAGGAAGATACAGTGGTTAAACTGGTGGTAGGGTGACCAGGGCGCTGCAGCTGATGGTCAGGGCTGGCTTCTAAAGGGAAGAATCATTTCAGCTGAGATCTGGAGAAAGAGTAAGAACTCAGAAGAAACGAGAGAAAAGACTAGTCAGGCTGAGGGAACTGCTGCCCTGGAGCACCAAAGGAGGCGAGCGCAAAGCTGAATTGGAGGATAGGGAAAAGTTAGGTCATGAGTACAGCTCAGTGAACTTGCATTTACCAACGGAGTGTTTTTCTGGTTTAAAAAAGACTTAAGCAGGGTTACAGAGTCGGTAAGTACTGTGAGTTAAGTACAGAGGTAGGTAAGACAACCGTGGCTGGAATGTGGAAATGGGACTAAGGAAGAAGAGAAGTAGAAACTCAGGAGAGTCAGTGTCAGTCAATGCTCAAACACCACAAACGGAGGGTGGTAACTTATTTATTGGCCGGCCTCTGAACATTAGGGTTCCGATGACTTAGATGCCATGCTCGAGGTCATGAGGTCATGAGGCAGGGGGATCTAGCTGGGGAAGGAACAAGAACAAAACCTAAGGAAAGATTTGAAAGTGCTGAGACTAAGGTGAGCTTTATGCCCACCTACTCACCCAGTCTCCAGCATGGTGGTTTTGTACACACTGGGAGCTGAGCAGGCTCTTGGCCTTGTATACACTATGGAGAAAGAACTAACAAGAGACCCCAATTTAAGGCGGCTTTAGAGCCAGCTTTGTACTGAAATAAATGGAATACAAGTATACCTGAGGGCATTTTGTTGTCCCAGAGTAGACACTTCCATAGTTCAGTCCAGCCCCCAGGAAGAGGGCATGAGATCCTTTGCTGCCCGCTAGTCCTGCCCTGTTAAACAAAATGCACCCTCATGAGCACACACGATCATAGGAAGTTCCCTAGTGGTAGACGCCCATGGAGAAGGGCTCTAGGTCAGTTCTCAGGGTGTGCTGATTGCAATGGGCAGATAGGGAGACAACAAAGCAAGAATGAGATCCTGAAAGCCGGCTGGGCCCCAGGGAGCGCGAGAAACAAACAGGAGTCTACAAGGAGCTGCGGCTAACTCTGCACCAGAGACATCATTCTGATAAAACCTCGGAACAATGGCCTAAAAATAGCTGCCTGGACCCCTGGGGACTGCCTCCCCTGTGCTGTTCACTTTCTGCTACTTTTTAGGTAGCAAAATTGGAGGTTTGGCCCTGCAGAGGGAAAACAAAGCCCTGCAGAGCAGTGATGACTAAAACGGTTCCTTTCCTTTGGAAAGCTTCTGTCACCTAGGAATCTGGTGTCTTGCTTACACCTCCCTGCTCTCTCACCCCGAGACACCTCGCCTCAGTCTGTCTGTGGCAGTGGTGATGGGTGGAGCAAGGAATGTTCCTGCTGCTGGCCTTGTTCCATTTCAAAAAGGGGATTTGAACAGGTTTCCCCTAATACAGAGCTGGTTCTGCTAGGAAAAGTGAGATCATATAAGGCCAGGCTCCAGCCTGCAGGGGACTGCTATTTAATAAGGGGAAAAGAGCTGAGCATACAGACTGCAGGAGCCTGGGCTGGGAAGTGAGAAGATGTAGTCAAAGCACAAGAAGCTGCAAGAACACGGAGAAGGAAGGACAGCAGGAAGAAGGTATCATGAAAGGAACTCGTTAGGGTCTGAGACCCCAAAGACCACGCAGAGTTAGAGCAGCAACAAGCTGTTCACCCTGACTGCGTCCACAGTCAGCAAGCGGAGAGCGTTAAATGCTTGTGAGTCAACCAAATTTCTCCTTTCTGTACAGTCCAGGGTCCCAGACTACTGACCACTCACTTTCAGGGCGGGTCTCCCCACCTCAGTCAACCTAATCAAGACAATCCCTCTAGCCATGCCCAAGAGGCTAACCAAATCAGAATAATTCATCACAAGTATGTGCAGGGGCTTGTCTCCTGAATGATTCCAGTTTTATAAGGTTAACAGTCAGCATTAACTACCACATTCCTCAAGAGTAACAGTATTTAAGCCCATTCCTCACGCACACAATTATAAATCATATTCCAAGAATATTACATGTTGCTAAGAGCTGAACCAAGCTGAGTTCAGATCAGATGGCCATACCCACACTTAAAATTCTCTCCTTTTCCAATTATTGCATCATGGTAAAATCTTTCCAAGAGCCACTGTTTGCTATTTCTGAAATGTAACCTCCATCTTGAACCAGCGCAGTCAAACCCAGTTTTATAGCGTTTACCAGAATTGTTCTAGTATTAATAAAAACTAGTGAGTCAGAAATTGAGATTCAAAACCTGATAAATCCAAGGAACGGGGAGGGATGATAAGTTGACTCTACTCACCACTTACCCACCCCCAATCTGAAAAGCCCCATAAATCCTGTCAGCCCCTCCTTCTCTCTTCCTGTCCCTCTCTATCCAACTTTCTCAGTCTTCCAACATCTCTATGGTTAATCCTGGTCGGCCAATCACTGACTCCATCCTTGATTCAAGTTAGCTTTATTTGCACAGCGGAGTGACAGTGTGAAAAATTCTCCCACAACATGGTTTGTAAAGTCAAATCTTAGCAAGAGTTAGAATCCCAGCCCCATTTTCTACAGTGGTACTCACCAGTCATCATGCTGATGTATGAAAATAACTATCAGGATGTCACACAATGCACCTCTATTACCAGCATTTAGGGGTGGGCTTCTGGGGGTACAAATTAAAAAGTAATTATAGTGCTTGTAACAGAAACTAGAAATACAACACAGTAAAGAAGGCACCAGATTCTTTTGAAATGAAGAATCTACCAGAAATATATCGTT